TTGCTGTGGGGATGGGGGAGGAATGTGGTAAGACGACGTGTCTAAGCTTTAAGGTGACAGGAAATTCACCCTCATGTTAAGTGGGTATCTCGGCTCCAGGACAACTCAAGCCCCTTAGCAACACATGCGTGGAGTCTCTAAGACAGAGGGCCACCCTCTGCAGCTCCTTACCTCTGCTGCAGCCTCGCTTCCCAAAAGACAGCTCGGCCAGCACAGACCGAATCACTCACTAGCAGCAGCCGGTGCTGGGGGAGACTAGAGATAAGATGACACAGAAGAAGAGGAAAATCTAACATACTTACTATCTGTTAAAAAATACTGTTCATGACAAGACTCTACCTAGAATTCTCACAAGGCAGCATTCCTTCGACCCCGGGTCACGGCTTAACGTACCAGGGGGACTCCAAGAGGTCTCAGCTTTTCCAGGACCATTTATCCGTCACTACAAACCGCCCGCCCAGCTCTGCTCTGAGTCCGGCATAGCTCACTCACAGCCACTGGGCTGTCATCTCAAACAAAAAGGCTGGATCATGAGGACCTTATACTGTTTTTGACCAGCACTTAAAATGTCTTTACTGACGGGCAGCCAGATTTCACCAGGCGCGCTCTTCTCGGACTGGCCGTTGAGGCTGGGGTGCAGCCAGCACAGGGTGCTCAGGAGCGGCCAGGTCCAGGGAAAGGCCGCCTCCTCCTCCTCCCTCGCCGCTTTCCTCTGCCGAGTCTGTGACACTGACTTTTGGTCATTTCAGTACCTACCAGACTCCTCCAGGTAGCAAGCTCATAAAGCAAATTGACCAGATCAGTTTGTAAGTTGATCATACCACTCAAATTTTCTGCATATGAGCAACCTGCAAGCCAGGAAAGGAGACATAGTGTGAAAGGTGGGTGCTGCCCATCAATTTCATCACCCACCTTGCTGCTTGAGTTATAGGTGGTCCTGATGGGCTGGCAGTCAGCGTGACGGGTCCCGTGGCATCGGGTAGGAGACCCGCCGTGTGGCCTCCGTGGATCCCCCTTCAATTGTAACTGCAGGGCCGCGTCAGGGCAAAGCTGCTTCTTGCCATACCTCCTGGCATTCCGGATACTGAGGTTGGCCTCTTCGTGTCGCTGCACGTATCATGTCTTGAGTGACCATTTAATCATGATTTGGAGTTTGGGTGTGGAGTAACACACATCTTACTACTCATATTACCTCATTGATACCAAAGAACGAAGGGAAGCTTAGAGGGAAGATCTTGATTTATAGAAAATAAAGAATATGGAACTTAGTATAGGACCAATTGTCTAAAAAATTACAGGTCACCACGGAGAACTGAGAACAGGGAAATACCCCCGCACTTAGGAGATCCGACCTCCACAGCATGCCTTTCTCACACTGTACCCTGGAGTACCAAAGCCAGTAGCAGGACGGGCGAGTTCATCAGATATGCCTCTTCGTCTACAGAAAGGGATCGCAGTAGAAGCATAGGCCCAAAACGTTATCAGGCTCTCCGTGCCGCTCTGTCACTGTGATCAGCATGATTCTGCTTGATCAACGAGAACTACGTATGATTTCCTAATGGAGTAAGAGAATGCGATGCAGTCAGAATAAGAGAATACCTTTCCTCAGTTTAGCAATCTCATGCTTCCCAGCATCATAGATGGAGAGTCTGTGCTTTAACCTGGGGGAGGGAACTTGCTGATGCCACGAAGAGGGAAGTGTGGGCGACACATGCACTCGGCCTGAATTGTCTGCTGGAAAATGTCTGAGTGCATCTATCAAGTTCAGGAAAATTTAAACAGAAAACAAAGGCACAGACCTATGAAATAGAAAACTTCCCAGAAGTAACAGAGGGAAAAGAGAAAGGACATATGCAGCTGAAAATGGTGTTCTACAAAAAAAAGGTGAAAAAAATAGAAAATTTTGAAGAGGAGATAGATGATTGATACCCTCAAAAAGAAGCAGGTACAAATGCCAGTGTAAAGAAGAAAGAAACTTAATAGAGAACAAGAAAAATGGGAAGGTGGAGATGCAATGAGATATAAATGGAAAATAGGAAAAAAAAAATCAAGGAACCAGAATTAATAAATTAAGTGAGGGCAACAAAAATCGAACTTTACATTGCCAAAATCCGAATTAGTGATGAGGATGGCGAACTTGAGAATGTGAGGATGAAGTAAGATAAAAAGAATGACAATGTAGAGAGAAAAGGGAATTAGTCAACCTCATAATTACAGATGGAAAATAATACATTTACTTCTGCATTATTTGTAAGAAAAAGTAAAATGCATAATGTTAATTATGCATACCTATTTCCAGCTATGGCTATCAAAATAAATGCAAAAATTATTTTTAAAATGTATATGCATAAAGTGAAAAAACGTAAATGAATTAAGGTGGGTCTAAAGCTGAAATTATATCAGATGGGGAAATTGATGGTAAGGTGAAAAGGATAGGAACGATAAAGTTAAACAGAGTTCTTGGCATCAAAATGAAGGCAAAATCTAGCAAAAAAGAGAGCAATTTAGCATTTATTAAAAAGTATGGGATATTGTTAAAATTGTACACAGCAGTAATTTCATATCATGAAATTATTTTCTTTTGTAATGAGGAAAATTAAAATTAATTACCTGAGCATTGAAGAACTAATTTTTTTTTTCATTTTCTATACTGGGTTAGTTACTATGCTGGGCGCTTTATCAGCACTGATTAAATGATCATTTACAGAAACTCTACAGAACTGCTACCTCCCTGTGGCCAGACGACTTGGGCAAGTTCTCCTGAAGGTAGGGACCCTGTTTATCGGCACATTTCCCCTCCTTGAAGTGGGAGGGGGCCAGTTGTGTCCAGGGAACCGTAAGGCAGTCGGTGCAGCAGGGGGACCGCGTGTCCCCAGAGCGTCCTCCGTAGGGGTTTGGGGGCGTCCGCTGGGTTCTGGCTGCCTGACTTTGAAATGTCTTGGAGGCTCGCGGCGCGTATTCAGGAGTGTGGCGTGATCTGGTCAGTTCTGAAAGGACCACTGTGGATCGTGTCCAGACAGCGGACCAAAGGAGGGAGCGAGAACAGGGACCCTCGCAGACCCCTCGGAGGAGATGACGGAGGCGCACTCTAGGCTGGTGTGGGGTGTGTGGAGAAAGGGGACCTGTGCGTCCGAGGCGCGAGAGGCAGGTCCGAGCCCAGGACCTCAGCCCGAGCTGCACAGCGAAAGCCTTGCCGTTTATGTAAACGCCTCCTGGGGAAGAGGCCGCCCTGGAAACAAACGAGAAGTTTGGATTCGGAACAGAGGCCCGTTACCATCGGGTGGATATTTGGACTAAGGTAAAATATTGAACTCAAAACACCCGTTGAGTAGGCATTAGCCGCAGGATTTGTGGAGATTTCTCTGTGGGGTATTCGTCTCCTGGCTAACCAAAAACCAGACTGGATGCTGATCAATGCAGACAAATTACCGTTTAGTCTATAACTGTATGTGACCAGAACATGCCCATGACTCAGCCACTTAGGCAGCCTTACTGACAGCATAAAGGGATTTACTGTTTTCATCCTTGATTCGATATGCAGCATCATATCGGGAAAAACAATGAAGGATATCATAAAATAACTTTTTCTTTTGATCATAACACATGGATATTAGAGAAAAAAATCTGTGAAGAATCCAAATGGTAAATGGTTTGTGTGTGGTGAGAGTGAAGAGAGAAGTACGCATGCACGTTTGGGGCTGAAGTTGTAGGATGCTGAAGGAATGACGTGAACTAAGCTGGAGAGAACGGAGTAAGCCGCGGCACGCCTGCCCCCGGGCATGGGGCAGGGGACGAGGCAGATGTGCCCCCATGGAAAGGGCAGAGGGAGCTCGCTTATCACACCTCACCTCACGTATATTGTCGCCCAGTTGAAAGGGAATTGTTTGCTTTCTGAATATCATCCAGTCACCTACATTTCGCACATAAACTGATTACCCAGCAGTTTATTATATGTTGTGGGGCACGGTAGGAAGGTTGAAGTGCAATGAATGAGTGGTCTGCAGGGGCTTAGAGATAGCCTACAAAGTATCATTCACGCTCTGCTAATGCTGATAATTTCTTCATAAGAAAGAAATATAAAATTTTTAAGTTGACAGTTGATTCCAAACTGACATTTACGGCATTTTTTGTGTTTTACTAAGCACTTTAGGATTTGTGTCCTATCTTTGCATAAAGTACAAAATACAGTCAGCTAAATAAGCGCTGGAGAGCAGAAGGCTTCTGATGGGTTAGCCGAGTGGCTAATGATGCTGCTAAGAAGCTGCAAAGATTTGGGGAGCTCTGCAAACAGAAGTAGATGTTAGCACATCTATTTACTTTATGTTATAGCTCATGTTTTAGAGTGGTTTAGTTAGAAGAAGCCTTACTGGGGAAAGGTACAGGTTCGATCTCCCAGGTGGGATCGCTAACTTGATACACAAATTTCTTCACAGACCCAAAATCAGTAACTGGAATAAAAAGAAAGATGGCAGGAAGCAAATGAAATAAAAGATTAAGGTTCCTGTGTAAGTTGATTAAAAAAATAAAATAAAACCTCTAATAATTAAAAAGCCCAGGTCTCCTCCAATCAGCTTCCATGACCCTATCTGCCAACACTCCGGCTTGGTCTTGTCTGACGTGTGTCTCATCCTGGTGGGGCGGCAGGCATGCACTTCCGGGGGAAGCCACAGAAGGGCTCCCCAGCTTCATGTCCTGTCGAGGGTATGTACTGTCCACGTGGTTTATCACCGTGGATGTTGACACTGATGACCTCATGGAGGTTGTAGGGCAGGATATTTATCTCATATTGTTGGTGTTTGGATAGATTTTGATTTTTAAGGAATTGGCCCATTTCTTCTAAATTTTGAATTTTGAGCAGGAATTATTAGAATATTTCCTTGTTATCTTTTAGTGTCTGCAGACTTTGTAGTGAAATTCCCAAATTCGATCTTGATATTGGTAATCTGTGCCTTTCCCCTTTTCATCTTTTTCCATCTTTAGAAGTTTATCAGTTTTATTGACTTTTTTTTTTTTTGAAGAACCAGCTTTTATTTCACTGCTGTTCTCTATTGTCTTTTCATTTTAAATTTCATTGAATCGTGGTCTGATCTTTATAACCATTTCCTTCCTTCTGCTTACTTGAGGGTCATTTTGCTCTTATTTTTCCAGTGTATTTACATGGAGATTTAGGCTGTTGATTTGAGATCTTTCCTCACTTGAACTGTTTGCATTTAGGTTACACTGTTTGGTTTTAAGAGTCCATTGATCCAGTTCAAGATAGCCGGGCAGGCATATCACAGGTTTTTTTCATGATCAAATATCTGTGGAAAACACAGAAGGTATATGTGTGTATGTGTGCATGCATTTACCCAGACCCATAATTGCACTATGAAATGAGAAACTAAAACGTGGATTCCTCAGAGGACCAGAAACCATAAAGAGTCTGTGAAAAGTAGATAGCAGTTAGAGTTCTCATTGAAGAAATAATATATGGCCCAAGATGAGACTGAGTAAAGTGGGAAGGGTCCCAGGGGCGTGCTGTGCCAGCCAGAAGCAGCAGGAGACCCGGGCGGCTGAGAAGGGGGTTATTTGAAGGGAAATATTTAAAGTCTGACCTGCTGCTGGCCTTCTCGCCTCACCCCGATGAAAGCGGGGCAGATGGCTTCTTGTCCTGGTGAAAGGGGCCAGTGCCCAGACACTGGCGGTCCCAGGGGCACAGTCCACACATGACAGCAGCCTGGCCGACTCCCCCCGAAGCCTCACGCGGGACAGACAGGCTGCGGGAAGGGCTGACCACGTGCCCTGCCTCTGTCCAAAAGCAGCCTGGCTGTGCAGTCACAAGACTTTCAAAAATCAACTAGCCACCTCAAATGCAAAGAAGAGTACACAGAAGATCACCAGACATTAGGAAAAGCCACATATAAAGAAGAGATACTAAATTCAACAATGTTAGGACACAAAAAAGATCAGTTTTGTTTAAAGCCTAATAAAATAAGCAAAGCGATGACAGCTGAGGTCCAAGAACGAATGATGGGTGTCCTCAATAAAGGGCGGTAGGAGGAGGGAGGGTTAGAACACAGGAGAATTCTCAACTTCAGGTCTAGGCATCTACTGTCATCTATCTATAAAAATTGAGCTTGAAAAAGGTGTAGGAGGAAACTTGAATAGAAAATTGTTGAAGAAATTAAAGAAAGACTAAATATCCCTTAAAATAGACAAAGATGTCCAGATTGGTGAATTTAAAAAAAACATGTAATACTACATTTGAAAATGTCAAGGGAGGTTCTAATCAAAGAAAGAAATACTAATAAATAAATCTCAAAATATATAGTTTTGAGATATTTACAGAAAACCTAGCAACCATTTTTGAAAGACATTTAAAAACACCTGGAAAACATGGGTAGTTGTATCACCTCTATTCTTAAATAGTGTAAAGATCATGTTTTTCACTATGTAATACAAATTAAATTTCCAATGAAATTTTTTTATTAAACTTAATTCTCAAGCTAATTATTATATTGTCTGGGCAGTATAAAGCCAAGAACACTAAAAACCAGTTTGGAAAGAGAACAACAAAGATACTTCCTCTATTGGAGCACAGATAATATTTTAAAGATGTAATTTTTAATACAGTGATAGTCTAAATGGGGGGAAATTTTAAACAGCAAGGAGAGTTGTGCAAATCCAGCCAGGCTCACTTGACTGGAGAAGGCGATGGGCCCAAGTGTGTAAGTCGAGTGTGGGTTTCTAAGCACAGGGGAGCCTAAGAAAGCAGGACAAGCCGAAACAATGAAATAAAGTAGTGGGAATAGATTTTCAATAAGTGTAAATAATCCAACCTTGTGGGGGGTGTGTGTGTGTTTACTAAATATAAAGCTAAAATGTAAGGACTTTAAAAAAGCAGATAGTAAAAAAATGGAAAAACATCTTAACAAGCATTTTGGAGTAGCTTTTTATAATGGTAGGAAAAAATAACACCTTGCATTAAAATACACTATTAAAAAGAGTGAAATCTACTATGTAATGATGAAAAATAAATTCAGCAAGAAGACAATGCTATATATATGTATACATTTAATGGACAGTATTGAATCACACAAAGAAAATTTTTCAGATTGTAAAGAAAGAATTGACAAGTCCATAGTCACAGTTGTAACATTTATTACAACTTATCCAATTATTGATAAAGCAACAAAAATTGGTAACAATATGGAAGAGTAGAAAATGTAATCAATGAATGTGAGTTAATGAATATACATAGATTCCAGCATGCAACATTCAGAGACTATAAAGTCTTCTCAAATATATACGGGCTTTTCATAAAAATTAAACCTTTACTAGGGCATAAAGCAAGTCCTAACAAATTTCATAGAATGAGTAGTATCTAGAGCATCTCTTACAATGATCAGCAATTACATTACAACTTGACAGTAAAAACGATACCTAAAAAATGTTTAAAAGCTTACATTATATATGTTATTATAGCCCAAATAATCAAACTAGAAAAGCATAATAAAAGGGAAGGAAGAGGTCAAGCCAATCTCACCCTTCTCGCAAATATTCTCAGCAAAATTTAAGCAAACGTAGGGTAGCACGCATAAAAAAAGATCACATATTATTCTTGAATTGAATTTATTCTGGAAATGCAGTATTCTTCACCATTAGGAAACCTATTAGGGTAATTAACCAAATTAACATCTCAAAAGAGACAATCTATATGATCATCTCAAAAGATGCTGGAAAGGCATCTGATAAAATAATGATACTAATGCATTTAATCCTCTATACGCGACAGTGTCTCAGCCCTCCTATACATTCTTCAATTCAATTAGTCTTCATAACAATCCCGTGAAGTAAATACTCCTATCATCTACATCTACCTCATTTTACATCTGAAGGAACCGAGGCACATGGAACTGAAGTAATTTGCCCAAGGTCAAGGATAAAGTAGGTGGTGGGCTTGGGTTTTGAATGCAGACTCCCTCGTTCTACATGCAATTACAGCAAATATTTCAGTAGCTTCACACACGTGTATGCAAACAAGCAGTTTCTCCAACTGATGTTAGATTTGGTTCGAAATTTCACTTGTACTCTGGCTGGTAAATTCATTTTCTAATCCCCACAGGGTTTTATGTTAGGATGTTCAATGCATCTTTGCTGAATGAATGCATTTCTCTTCCCATTGACAAAATACTAGGCTTCTAGGAGTAAATAGGATTAAATTACAATAAATTTAGGGTTTGTCACCAATAATATTATTTTAGTTTATTTAGTCTTCTTTTATACCCTTGTTTCTATAACGAATGCTTCCAAATCTCAATTAGGCATGCCAATAATATCATGCTTACCCACCATGAAAATTAGAAGGTCCCTAGCAGAGAGCAATTATTTATGACTAAAAATATTGGCACCATTTTAACAAATAATTTAAATAATTTATGCCAAAGTCCAAAGGCAAAGACTGACACAGTAAAGATGTTCTTTACTATGTATTTACTATCCCTGCTTAAAACCATATAAATTTCTCACTTTTCTGTTCCATTATAGCTTTGAATTTTCTTTTTAAAAGAATGGGTGTTCACTCAATAGATTTACTTACTTTGTTAATACACTGATTTGAATTCACAGTACACATTTTAAAATCTAGATATTCTTGAGAATTTGTGCTATATCTGGAGAGGTGGCAGTACTCAGCAGATGTCTACCTCCACAGAGATGTGTGTGTGTGTGTGTGTGTGTGTGTGTGTGTGTGTGCACTTAGAATTTGGAGGCAGGATGGACTTGAGTTAAAATTTTTTGTCCACTCCTAACAAAGGTGTGACTAAGCAAGGTACTTAATTTTTCTGAAACCTTGGTTTTCCGTCTGTGAAAGGTAGGGCCAGTGAGAAGGGGCACAGGGGTTTGTGTTCAGCTCTGATGGACTGACTCTGGGAGCAGATGCAGACTTTTGCAAATGTGAGAGAAAAGGACCCTTGTGATGCCCTGGAACTGAGCTTAACTTAAAGTGAAGCTAACTGTGAGCCTCCTGGGGGCAGCTGCAGACTCCAGGCTCTAGGTCCCTAGAACTATGCCCACAAGCTGTTCATTTAGAAGGAAAAAATGAAAACAAAACAAAAAAACAGTGCATAGCTTTTTTATGTCTGTGGACAGTGTTACGATCCTTATGCAAAAAAAAAAAGGTGTAAGTGTATGAATCGTCTTCTCTTTGGGATCATCGGCACCCAAATTCTACATCCTCCAACTGGTGTGGTGGAGGTGCTTGGAAATATTTTTAGAGTGAACAAAATTGTCAAAGAAGGTATTTCCTGCTCCTTTGGTATCGCCTTAGACTCCTGATGGTTCCTTTCACAGCTTTGTCTCAAGTTTGCCACAGTCTGTCTGCAGCTGTTCAGTGCCTCGTGCCCTTGTTCTCGTTTCCTTTTCCTTGTTTGCGTGCCTTCTGTGCTGTTCGTCCTGTTTCCTGCTGCATTGAGACAGGGACCGTGGGTGTAGTCAGGGTAGGGTGAGGGCCACCAGAGAAAGCACCACAGGATAATTACAGTCAGAGCAGTGTGACTACATGCAAGGAATCCCCCTGCCAAAACTCTGTGTTAAACATTAAGCTCTAGAGTCATTCTTCAGTGAGATCAGAGCACGTATTTTTAGTGTGCTAATCATTTTTAATCTTAAGATACACTTCAGCGTGCTAAAAGGCCCAGGCCTATGTGCTGTCTTTCCTCCTTCAGACCTGATGAGGTGACTTGCAATCTGGACAATTAATAATGGCAAGCAGGCCCTGCCATAAACAACACAGTAAAAGGTAGGAAGGATTCCACCTTAAAGATAAGATTGCATTTTAATACCAAGGAAGTTAAGAAGGTTCTTAACTTACTCTTTAGCAAACAATACCTCAGCCCACCTGGTATCTCAGGGAGAAATCGTCAGAGCGGAAAGTTGCTTGTGTTAAATTAATTCTAAATATTCAGGGAACATTTAACAAGTTCACGCCCCTAAGCCTTTTTTCCATGTTCCCCAAAATCCTCAACTGCTTATAAAACCCCTAGACAACGCACCACTACAGACTGTCCTGTCCCCTCCTGGTGTGAGCCAGGAGCTCTGTCCTCTCACTGTATCTCTCACTAAAAGCCTCTCCCTGGCTCTCCTACCCTGGGTGGCCGCTAAGGTCATTCTTTGACTCCGCTAACAAGAAACCCTGCATCAGCATCATTGTTCCAAGCACCAATCTCAGCTCTGAGAGCGGAGGTCAGCGTCCACTGCAGAGAGGCCAGCAGGAACGTGGGGACAGCCACCCAGGATCTGATTGTGGTTTGGTTTGCACAATTCCACCACCACCAATCAATTCAAGGGATAAGCTCTTGTTTAATAAGCACTATACAAAATATCATTCAATTGAATGTCATTTAGGCCAAATCACTGGGGACCTGGTTGGCTCATTCCCTTCCCAATAGCCTGGAGTAAGGTGCGGGTTCCCAATGCGGGTCAGCCCAGGGGTTGGCATGCGGGTGCCCCTCACTTCAGCAAGCCCTCCTGCCTGCCAGCCTCCTTCCTCTGTAGCCCCACATCCCACCAAGGAATCTGTGAGCCCACACCTTATCCCACTAACACGGGGATTGCCTTCCGGTGACGGACTCCAAGCATCCGGATTCTGAGCCAGGGAGTATGCCTGTGAAGGGCGGCCCCTGGGGACCGTGGTGCGGGAGAGCTGAGGTGGGTGCGCTGGGGCTGAGGGTGCAGGTGCGCGCAGGCATCCCTA